ACTGTACATCCTTGGGGTTTCACTTCACATTCTTCACAGCCGGCATCAATATTCTTGCTCCAAGATACCTTTCTAAACAGTAGCTACAATAATTGTTACATTTAAATGAATAACATCCCCTTAGCTGTTACTGGATGGTTCAATCCAAAGAAACACAAGTTGTTTCAAAAGAAAGCATAACAACATTATTAAACAGTAAGCAACCTATAACAACACTAGCAGGCCAACGCACCATAGATCTAAAATGCCAACAAAACATGGGTAAATATACACAATGCAGTATCTTCCCACTGAAAACAATCTCAGAAAGTAGAAAGTCAAATTACAACACTAAGAATAACGTCCCAGCCCTGCAGAGGTTTTCACAAAACATACAACAGAAAGTTAATACAATTTTTTTGTCACAATTAGGTTTTCTTCCAAGTGCCACATGGCTCTTTTGAAGTATCACCATCCCTACATTTAAACCATTCTAAAGACTACTGACTTAAACTGACATTTTGGGAAAAGGAGGCCTGTCTTCTTGTGAAGGTAGAGACTGAGGTTTCCTACTACCACCTAGAGTACATAAAGCTTCTGAATAGCATACAGGCAATCAATTCCCTAGAAGACTTGGAACAGGGAGCTCACATTGGCAGGAGAATTTGCCAAAGACCTGTATGAGATCTTGAACAGTACAGAGGAGAAGAATATTGGCTAACACACTCAAGCCTTTTTCCTACTGTAAATCATGGTGTCCCTTACAATTGAAAAGCTGCTGCCAAGAGAGAACCCAGGATTATCCATTTCTAGAAGGGCAGAACACACACAGTGCACATTCTCAGTGAGATGGCCTTAGAGCAAAGGGGTATTTCCAGAGGCTCTGCTACTTGAATGAATTGCTGAAAGCAAACGTGTCAGAAGTAGAGCAAATCAGATGTGTGTTTCCTGACAGAGGACTGACCAGGGGAAGTGTATTGACCAGAGAGTAAGAAATACTCCAAACCATCCCGGTTAAATTGACGATCTATCACTTCTCATTCATCGCAAGCAAGAAGGTCAGTGTCTGGACACCTCGAAGCAGTCAAGTTACAGAGAAACAGCCTGCTGGATTTCTTCCTCTCAGGGCAGTACACTGAGGCTGGCTGCGCCAGTACTTTGCTGGCAATATGCCTTCTGCAGTCTTTATCATACCTGTCAGCAAATGCACAAGTTGTACAAGCACTCCCACCACTACAGCTGACAGAAAAAGATGAGACAAGTCATTCCCAACACAAGGAGAGACATCGAGCCCAAGTAGGACATGGCTATCATTAATGCAAATACCTGTTTTCACCTGCCTTCCTGGACAATGACTTTGCATTTCAAGTGGCACCAAAATGCATTTCCTACATCAAACGCAAAGCATCCAATACAGTGAAAAACTCTCTTTTTGGATATTGGATAGGTCCTTCCACTTGAAAAAAGTTATCTGTCAGTGGTGGAATTATCCACTTCTTCAATAAGAAACATCTCCACGGAGTATATAATGAAAAGCCAAGCACATATGCATCTGAGGTATAATTCAGCAGGTATCAGCATAAAAGAAAGCAGGTAGCATGGCTAAGAGATTTAATTTTCTTAGCCTCAAAACAGGATAGCTTTCATTCCCTTTCGGAACTTGGAAAAGGCTATTCTTCATCTTCATGTGCAGCTGATAGGAAAAGACATCTTAATATCCTAGCAGAAGGATCTTTGGAATATGAAGGCAGTTGAAATGGATGGAATTTGCAGTTAACCTCAGTTCAACACAATTTCTATTTGCACAAGCAGTTCTGCCTGGTCATTAACAGTCTGAACAGAAAAACTGCAGCGAAGGACTACTGCAGATGCAGGTCACCACTATGACCTTGGAGATTTTTGTGAAAAAGAAAGAAAAAAGCAACGCAGTTAATGGAGCTGCTGCTACTTCTTCCTCCGAGGCTGAACTGCAACTGCTTATTATGTACACATATATACAGAGAAGTCAGGGGAAACTTGCGCAAGCAGGACCAGCACGTGGCAGGGCTGCGAGGTGAGCAGTTACTAGTCTGATACAAATACCTGTAGCCAGTGCTCATGAGGGAAAGGTGAGAAATGACTTGCCCACTGAATACATGCTTGGAAAGCAGCGGCGAGCAGAAGGATTTGGGACTACAAGACATGAGAGAGCCTAAATAAATCAGCAAGAGTAGGCAAATTCCAGAACTATAGAACTGCTCCATAAATATTGCAATTTTAAGGGCTGCAGAAAAAAAATCTCAAGTGTCCTTTAGGCACTTGCAAAGCAGATTTTATAGAAAGTGGATGCAGAAGAGCATCATGGCTTGTTTGTAGCCATAAGGATTGAAAAATCTCAAGATAAGCAGAATAGGACATCCTAACTGGACTCTCCAAAGACTGTGGTTCTCTGTGGAATAAAGCTCTGTAAACCCAGCATTTTATCCTGTAACAACAGGGTGCTTCTAAACATTTGCCCTCTTCACGTACATTGTTCTTGTAGCTGTTTCTGACTACTGTCAGATGGGACAGTGGACTATGCAGACCTCTTGTCCCATCTGGTACCATTGCTCATATCAACAATGCTATGGGAAACTCCTCACTTCTGGAAGAAATCAGCTTGATTGTCTTATTCAACTAACACATTTGTCATCGATACTAATGTTCTTTTTAAGGCTAGGAAAAGGATAAGGCCCTCAGGGCAGACATTTAATATCTTTATCTGCTAGCAAACTTGTTACTAGACAGAATTAAACACTGGTAACCTCAAAAAAAAGTATGGAGATAGAGAAAAACATCAAAATATACAAATAATGAGCAGCAGAAGCAAAACAAAAACAAATGCTGCTAAAAACAGAAATGAGTAATAAATTTCCTGATGGTAAAATATGGAAAATGCTGAAAAGATTGAGGTTCAACTCAAGGAAACCTTGGAAAGAAAAAAAACAACACCAAAGAGGTAAACCAGGAAGCATATTGAGAGAAACCTGCACACAAGTAGTTTAAGAGGCCTCTAAAAGTTTCTCCCTGGTAGACAGGAAGAGAAAAAGCTTGAAGTAATTGAGAACAACTGAAGACTGGAAGACAAATTTCCACCTTTGAACCATTTGGTGAAGAATACAAGGCATAATATCTTTACTAAAAAATACTAAGGCAAAAATTCTCCATCGTTTTTGTGCCAAACCCTTCTAGATCACCCAGACAGTCTCCTGACAGTCTGCATAACCATGCCACAGAGGCACATACAGACAAGCATTCATAGAACAATTTAACCAACATGATAAAAGACAACCAATCATTTAATCCTAAATTTTCAAAATTTTTACTACAGGCATACTGACAGAATAAAAAAAAAAAGGGGGGGGAGCAAAGAGACACACATGTGAACACTGGTCAGTCAGAGTTGGAAGGACATGGTATAAAGCAAGGAATGACCAAAGTGTCTTGGTTTTGTACTTTTGTCCTCATTTCACGTACTTTTTGATTTAAATTTTCTGAAGGTTGGAGATATAGGAAAAGGAGATAAAACAACATAATAATTTTGGGGCATTTAATCTCCTTTACTATTGCTCTTCTAGAAAAATTGAAAAAACCCCAGCCAAATGGTTATTCTGTTATTTCTCTTCCTCTGATCTCCTATCTCCATGTTTTAACTGGCAGAGCATGTGAAGTTAAAGTCTAAATACAAAAAGAATTTTACATTAAAAACCACTTATATTTAGAAAAATAATATTAGAAGAAGCACATACTGAAAGAAACAGGAATCCGGAGTATTCAGCTCTGGTACTGTGAATGTTAGTCTTGCATGCAAAACCCACTACGTTTCAGGTTAAAGGAGATGATATTATCATGATTATCTGTGTAACAATAATGAATACTAAGAGACAATTTCAACAGATAACTTCATTTAGCAAGTCTTTTAGGTGATAGTTTCCAATTCATATTATCAATATACATGCTATCAATTCTGAGCTATACTATAGTGGTGTCAATTCCGCCCTATGGGAATCTTTTCAGTTTATTAGGAATTCTCTAAGAACACACCAGAAAAACCAGTCATTTGTCATAACATTAACTATAACTTATTAACATGAAAATACTTAGGTATCCTTAGAATGTGTTTCTTCTTTCAAATTGTATCTGTTTTGCAGTTCACATAAAGAAATGTTGCATGAATAGAAACATGAAAAAATTACTTATTCTTACAAAATTTCTTTACTGAGTCACTTATTCATAAAAAAGCCATACCCAAAGCATGGTATATTTCCACTTAATTATATGTATTTTTCTGTATGTGCACATGAACCATTAAAAAAGCTGTCACTTCTTTAGCTGTAAACAACTGCTTTTGTTAGAGTACCCCCGCCCTAAAAATAAAAAAGTGGATTTCCGTGTTCATAGATTATTATTAGTAAGCATCATCATTACACTGCTTTGAAGTTTATCATGCAAAAAAAAAAATAAATCCTGGAAAGGGCTTTGGCCCTCATTTTTTATCTTGCCCAACCAATTTCACAATACCCTGACAGTATAAGGAAAAATAATCAAAGCCATTCAGGTGTAACAGATGCCTGTCGAGGTATGTTGTTGATGGCCAGTCCTTTCTAGCCATGTGAAAAAGTGCAGACGTACCGTAAAAATTTGATCTACACAAATCCTTACAGAATTTCCCAGTATATTTATACATACAGTAAAAGTGAGGTATGGATTCTATCAGAGACATCGATGTATTCACTTCACCAACACAACTGCTATCTCCAGGTGTTAATTTTATTTAGAACTAGAGGCCTTTATAAGCTAAATGTACATTCACAGAACCAGACAGACATGCCCACACCTTTACATACGAATAATTACGTAAACCAAGGTCCCTTTCTGTTTTCAGCTCTGCAAAAAATACTGCAGTCATGAATTAAACATCATCTTTCAAAGTTCTCTGGTTTGTGCCTGCTCTGGCAGGATTTCTGGGAACACCGATTAAAATCTGAATAGCTTTACATTACCTCCAACCTTAGGCCCACCAGCTGATCCCGGCTTTCTTGCACTGTTTGAAGGATTTCCTGGCTTTTTAGGTGCCGGAACCTTGAAGGCTGAAGCAGCTGATGACGGCCTATTTCCATCCACTGATTCTTCATCATCAAAGCTTTTATCTGGAAAAGAATATATTAAATAAATATACAGCTATTAGAATGGACATACATTTATTTCCCAATCACCTATTCTGCTCCACATTTCCCAGAAATTCACAAAATGTATACACAAAACCAACTATTTATCACTTTGTCCCCTCTCTCTCTGACCTAAGAATAAAATGACAATGAGAAATCAACAGCATTTTCTACAAGTTCTTATAAAATATTATTTTGCCTTCATAATTAACCACTGTAAAACTGAACACAAAAATGAATCCTACACTGTAATTCCCACAAAGGGAAAATATCTTTGCAGAGATTCAATATTTTTGCCTATTTCTGAGTATTTTCCCCAAAGGAAAGCCCTTAATATAATTCTTATCATTCCAGACTACCAAAGACAAATGCTTCTCCCTTTTCTTCTTTTACTCATGCATGCATTTCCTGCTACACATCCTCCCACAATGTGTCTAACCAGCACTCCCTGTCTCTTTCCTTCCACCCAGATTTTTCAACTTACAATCACAGATCCTCTTGCAGATCAGCCGCCTCATTCCTCTGATCGCTCTGCAATCCCCTCACTCTAGGACGAACCCAGCACCTCACATGGCCACGCGCAGAAAATTCTTAATACTAATCGAAGATGCTATCAAAAACTGCTCGCAAACACCCTAGATCTACCACTGAGATTTGTTCCGGCATCTTTCTCTCCCTTCCCCGCACTAGGTGCCGCACAACCAATGAGCTGCAAGGTGACATCATCTTCTGGGAGCCACTGCCAGAGGAAAAGGTGAAAATCCTCCATGCAAATAAATTCGTTCCCACACACAGCATTTGCCACTATTCCAATCCTTCATTAAAAAGAAATTAGACAGGCAGACGATACTCTGGGGTTTGCCCTCCTCTCTCCTATCATTTCAGGTTTGTGTATTTTTAATCAAGAAAGAAATTCATCCCTAGCGACAAAATAAAATAGTCCCAATGCAAAATATTCAGCCTTAAAAAAGAGAAAAAAAGCCAAGCAACATATTCCAGCAGTAGAATGTAACAATTTCTCAATCCACTTAGGGAAGAAGGATTTATTTACAAGCTTGAGCACACAAAACGTATCAGCCTACGGTTCCTGTAATAATAAAATGGGCGAGGCTGAGACACAGCTGCACTACAGTAACGGAAGACCAACTCAACATGTTACCTGCTCTAAAAACTGCCATTTCTAACAAGAAACAAACCACAAAACAAATCCAAGATTAATCGCAAAGCTTTGTTATGTCTGGAATGGTGACTATTTACCCTTTGCTTATTCAGAACTTGCTCCCAGCAAAATGTCAACTACATTAAATAATGCAGCCTCCCCAAGGAAGGTAGCTTTCATTAAAAGGAAGGTTTTCGCCAACAGCCTTTGCAGTACCAAACAGCAGAACACTCCACATTTAAAGTGTCCAAGATTACTGTTGCTATAGTTAGTGCATTTTTCTAGCAACAGTGAAAAGCAGTGTGTTGCACTAACAGATCTTCACAAAGACATGACAAACCACCACAAGAAACACCTGGATGCTTATTGATAATTTTCACCAATATTATTTCCTCGTCTCTGACAAACACCAATTCTGAGTTTGTTTGGGTTTTGTTGTTTGGTGTGTTTTTTTAAGAGAATCTTGCTAAGAATAATCATGTTTGGATATGTAAACTCTCAGCACCGGGAAAAAGCATCAGCCTCCTCCCCGTCAGCCTGTGTGTTGCCTTGGAAACAGCACTCCTGCTCAGCACAGGGGCTGAGGCAGAATA